TGGGGAACAACAGGCTTCAACTGAACCCTGGCAAGACTGAGTGGCTGTGGGTTCTGAGGCTTTCTGGTCCTAGAGTTATGCCATCTTTGGTGCTGGATGGGGTAGCGCTGCCCCAGACAGACCCTGTGCGCAATCTGGGGGTCTTCCTGGACTCACGACTCCTGCTTGAAGAGCAGGTGGCAGTCGTGCCCAGGAGGGCCTTTGCACAGGTTCATGTTGCGTGCCACTTGCACCCATTCCTAGATCAGAGGGACCCAATCACTGTCATTCATGCCCTGGTCACCTCCCTTTCCCGCCCACGTACCCGAGGACTCCCCTGGATATGAAGCTGCTGCTACTCTGCTGGCTGAGGCATTTCCCAAGACAAGCATGCCCAGGGCAGGGCGCTGCATCTCCAAGGCAGAGGCTTTTGCTAGAACTGGGGCTGGACAGGGAGATGTGTTATGGCCCACCTCCTTTGTTCGCTGGAAGCGGGTGGAGGCCTGGCGCCAATCTTCCTCTGGCATGTGCAGCCTGTTGCTCCTATCCCCATTCAACAGGGTAGTTTTGCTGTCAGTGGTAAATAGTGCCAGGGGTGTAGATCCATTGGTGGCTGAGGTGTGAAACGGGAACGTCGAGAGGTTAGGCGCATGGGGCACCTGGCCACCCGCCATTCCCTCCAATATGGCGTTTTGTTTTGGGGCTCTGACTCCTCCCAAGGGGGCCTCATAGAGGTCTTCCATGCAAGCTTTCAACGGTTTCCTCTTGGGGGAGGGCGTCCTGGGCGCTGAGCTGAGCTGAGCAGCATAAGATGTGCCTCGGCTGGAACCAGAATACTGCATCCAGTTCTGACCATTTAATTTTAGGAAGGACGCTGACGGACTGGAGCAGAAGGCAACCAACACGGTAAGAGGCCAGGAAAGAAAACCCGACAAGGAATGGTTAGAAGTGCTAGGAACGTAATTCTGCAAGGAGGAAGCATTTGGAAGCTTTGCCAGAGGAATGACTGAGAGGTAGCCCAGGCTTTTGAGCTTGCTATAGCTCCTGCTTTCTCATTCTGAATCTGTAAAGAATTATGTATAAATAGTAGGTTTGCAGAAATGCATCATTTTTAACTTTGCACTGCAGAGAGGTTCCTTCAGCTTCTGTTCACTTAAGAATTAATCAAAACATACCATCTGAATAGGGGATGCCTATCTGCGTACCCAATGAAAACAGCATGACCTGCTTTAAGAACTGTAAATATCATTTGAGGTAGGCCAGGTCAGCAAATAAACACCCCAGGAACTCTCCTATAATGGATAACTGAATCTTGGAAGCCTGACAAGTTTCCCTCTCCTTTTCTCTTATACCAGAGTCATAGTGGGATAATCTTGAGTTTCTTCCTCACCCTACCTGGCTTTCTGGGCTAAATTCATGTTCTAACAGCTGCCCCATGCCTTCTTCAAAGCTATCTCTGTACTCCTCTGGAGCTATTATATGATAGGTCCAAGTTTGAAAACAGGTCTTGACAGAGAACTTTCTGCCTTTACACGCAGTTAATATACTACATAGCGAACAAAACGTGAAAGACAAAAAACTACACTGCAGGCAGATTACCCATAAGATTAGGAAGATACCAGATTTTTATTTGGAGCAAAAAGTTCAGGAGATAAAGGGAAAAGAAAAAATAGAGATTGGAGGAATACTCCCTGGTAAGAGGTGGTCCACCCAAAGATTAACATAAACACTTTATCAGTCACACAAGATGTATTTGTAATTTTGGTCATAAAAATTTAAAATACGATGCACAAGCACAATGGTATATTTCTCCTTGGACTCCCCCAAATTAGGATCGGTTACTATTTGTTAACCAACAGTACCTTTGTTTTCTTTCCAACAAGTAAAACTGTGTCTCTAGATATAATATGCATTCAGCATCCCAGGCCTGGGGTGAATGTGTTAGTGGAGCCCGTTTTTTTTTAATTACTGTATGGCTATTTTTGTCTAGGCTGCTATGCTTTGTGGCTATGTTTTTAATTGTTTTAAATTGTATATGAGATGTTGTAAGCTACAGCCTTTTGGAGTGGGTTGATAAATAATAAACAAAGACTTAATTGCCTTTTTCATATTTAACAAGTCTTAAAAAAGAAATTATTCCCCACAATTGTGCTACTTTCTAATTTCACATGGTCTACTATGTGATCTCTGATCTGGAAGACAATAGGAGCCTCCTTGCCTCAGACTAAAGTTTACAAATGTTCACAGCAGGCCTCATCTACCACCTCAAGCAAACGTTCTACAGTTCTAAGCACGGTGCAGGGCCTGCTTACCTGACGAAGCACCTGTCTCCCACAGCATCTGCTTGGCTGGTTTGATCTAGCGGTATTGGCACGCTCCAGGTTCCATTGATTAAACGCCGCCATCTGTCGGGAGCCTGGAAGGGCATCTTCTCTGTAGCAGCATCTGCCCTCTGGAATGAAGTTCCCCCCAAAATTCAAATGGCCCCCCCAATCACTATTTCAAAGAGCCTTCAAGACCTGGCTCTCTGCCCAGGCCTTTGGCAAGGATGACTGACGCCCCTTTCTTCTTTTTTGTCCCCCCCCCCAGTTTGTTTTCTTTGCCATGTTGTTCTGCCTTGTGCTACTTTTTGAGTGGTTTTGTATTGATTTTTGTTCTTAAAATTTTAACAATTGTAAACCACCCAGAGTTGCTGGGAGTTGGGTAGCATATCAATTTAATAAATGATATTGACAGAGAATATAAACTATCTTATATCCCAAGAAGCAGCTCTTTAACAGGAAGAATTCTTTGTCCTTTGACCCTGGATCTAGTCACAGAACTGCAGCTCAAAGACTTTCTTTCAAGAATGCTGTATGTCTGATCACCTTCATAAGTGCTAAGAGACAGGTTATACTCCTTGAGCCTGTTGATGGCCCTAGGAAAGGCCACTTTACTGGTAAGTAACAGGAAACTAGGGGGAAAAAAGCATAGTTACAGCGTATGCTAACATTTCAATTACAGTATTTGATACAGAATACTTGCTATACAAAAGCTCATTTTTCCTTGCATTTCTAGAGTTCTTTAAATTATTAAAACAAAGATCAAATAGAAAAATTAAAATGTTGATTTTCCAAAGCGATTAGTTGCTGCTGCTTTTTCTATTCAATCAGAGCCAGAATATTCTTATGGATCCAACTTCGAAATACTATTGGAAATAATTTTAATTGGAAACGTGAACATTGGTTCCTCCCCGTGCTTGAACAAAACCATAAGTCCACAAGTGTTTCCTACAAAGTCTCACATGGTCTTCGTGCTCTCAGCTATCCATGTCAGTGAATTTTCTCTTTTTGTAATTCTGGATCAGGCTAGATACTGTGATCTGGGCGGCCTGGCCCATTTCCCAGCACTGGAAGTCATGGAGTCCCTTCTGGCCAGTCTGAAATAAGGCTCGCTCCAACTCATCCAGCCGGGTCACGAGTGCAGATGTGTCCTCATTGAAAGTATTCTGGGAAGAGTCCATGATGTGACGGAAACGGCCAATAAACGTCTAATAACAGAAATAGATTTATTTAGAATGGAAGAGGTTCGCTTGAATCCTCAAAAGGAAATGACTGGTACCTTCTGCAACGAATGGAATCATGGGGCTCCTCTACATGGAGTGGCCAGACTTCACAGTACCAGCATAATTTTAGGGTACAAAAGATCAGTTATGTGCCAGGTTACATTTTAATCACATAGCTGTTAAACTGGGGATGGGAAGGTTGTGCAACTCAGTGCCCCCCGATGTCTTCAAATTTCAATTTCCAGCAAAACTAGGCAGAGTAGTTTAAGACTAGGCAATATGTCCCGAAATTGCCTACCCCTGTGCCAGACAGCACTAACTACAATCCTAGCAATACAGCAATAGCTGGAAGGTCAGAGATCCCCAGTTCGTGTGCTACACTTTACATTCAAAGACTGCCAGAATGAAATGAACAACACAAGTGTTCATGGATTATATGCATCTAACTCGGGGGCAGGGTCTAAATCATACAGTTTTGATCCAAATCGGCACTAATAACTCAGAACTGATAAATAACAACCCTACCCCCGCCCCCAGGATCAGCTCTTCAAAGTCTTTCTGGAATGGAAAGTTTTAAAATCACAATAACTGGCATTAAAACAATATTTTGGTTGGCCCTAATAAAAGAAGATGTCATCTAGGCAACTGCTAGATGGCCACAAAGAGATAAGGAAACAGTACTTTGCCACCATTTTGTGTTTGTTCAGATTTCTATAACCTGGACCTGATAACCACCAAAGGTGTGTCCAGTAAAGCAGAATTTCTGTTAAATCCAAATAGGGTTTTATGCATCTGTATTTTACATATTCATGTTTTAAAAGGGAAGGTGATTTTATACATGCGTATATACAATGATGAAGCAGATCGCGTCCATTGCATTTAAATCTGCTACACTAAGTTCTGTTAAACTGAGGACTTCCTGTATCACTCTACTGAAAATTGTGGC